CCTAATATCCAGAGTATACAAAGAACTCAAAAAATTAGACAATAAGAGAACAAACAACCCAATCAACAAATGGGCCAAGGACCTGAACAGACACTTCTCAGAGGAGGACATACAATCAATCAATAAGTACATGAAAAAATGCTCACCATCTCTAGCAGTCAGAGAAATGCAAATCAAAACCACCCTAAGATACCATCTCACTCCAGTAAGATTGGCAGCCATTATGAAGTCAAACAACAACAAGTGCTGGCGAGGATGTGGGGAAAAGGGTACACTTGTACATTGCTGGTGGGACTGCAAATTGGTGCAGCCAATTTGGAAAGCAGTATGGAGATTTCTTGGAAAGCTGGGAATGGAATGACCATTTGACCCAGCTATTCCCCTTCTCGGTCTATTCCCTAAAGACCTAAAAAGAGCATGCTACAGGGACACTGCTACATTGATGTTCATAGCAGCACAATTCACAATAGCAAGACTGTGGAACCAACCTAGATGCCCTTCAATAGACGAATGGATAAAAAAAAATGTGGCAGTTATATACAATGGAGTATTACTCTGCATTAAAAAAATGACAAAATCATAGAATTTGCAGGGAAATGGATGGCATTAGAACAGATTATGCTAAGTGAAGCTAGCCAATCCCTAAAAAACAAATGCCAAATGTTTTCTTTGATATAAGGAGAGTAACTAAGAACAGAGTTGGGAGGAAGAGCATGAGAAGAAGATTAACATTAAACAGGGGTGAGAGGTGGGAGGGAAAAGGAAAGAGAAGGGAAATTGCATGGAAATGGAAGGAGACCCTCATGGTTATACAAAATTACATACAAGAGGAAGTGAGGGGAAAGGGGAAAAAAAAACAAGGGGGAGAAATGAATTACAGTAGATGGGGTAGAGAGAGAAGATGAGAGGGGAGGGGATGGGGGATAGTAGAGGATAGGAAAGGCAGCAGAATACAACAGACACTAGCATAGCAATATGTAAAACAGTGGATGTGTAACCGATGTGATGCTGTAATCTGTATACGGGGTAAAAATGGGAGTTCATAACCCACTTGAATCAAAGTGTGAAATATGATTTGTCAAGAACTATGTAATGTTTTGAACAACCAATAATAAAAATTAAAGAAAAAAATAATTAGTTTTACTTGTAGTTAGTTATATGATTAGTGTACATGTATTATTATTGATGTTATGTTTTGGAAGCTTAGTCATACAATTCTAACTTTATATGTGTAGCGTTTTCATAATTAAAAAACTCTGAAAACAATTTGGAATTTTAATAGATTAAAAGGTAAATGACATAAGAAATCCCTTTAAATTCTGATTAATTTTAAATTTTATATGGTAAAATTAGAAAAAGAAAAAGAATTGTCAAGCCATGCTTTATGAATACTCAAGAAACAATACAGTCTAATAGTTAAGATCACAAAATTTAAAACTGAACTACCTGCATTTAAATTTCAACTCTACTTTATCATATCTCTGGATCTTTTAAAAAAATTTTACTTTTCTTATCTCAAATCTACCCTGTAAAAATGAGCATTATAAGGTGATTGGGAATACTATGTGAAATGTGTAAATAAAGCACTTAGAATAATACCTAGAACATAGTTGTCATTCAATAAGGCTTAGCTGTTGACAGAAAATATTGGATACCTACCAGATGTGTGCTGTGTAGTAGGTTGTCCACCATATTTTTCTTATTTGTATTTTTGGAGCAGTTTTTGCACAGTGATGTTTCCATTTTGTTCTTTTGTTTTTGTGTGGGTGGAAATTAAACGTGTTCAACATATATCTTCATTATACAGAGATGTTAGGCAAAGAAGAGTTATTTCTTTGATTTTGGATGGAATTTTCTCTCATACTTTTGAATGCTTATTTTTTATTTTCCTTTTTCTTATTTTTCAGATTAAATGTATGGAAAAATGAAAAATTAATGATAAAATAACTAACTTTTGTAACAGTGTAATGGATTCTTCAGTGGAAAACAGTATGTATATAAACAGAGTATGGGTTCAATGTGAAAATGAAAGTTGTTTGAAATGGAGATTATTGTCAAGTGAGGATGCAGCCAAAGTTGATCACAGTGAACCATGGTATTGCTTCATGAATGCTGACTCAAGATATAATGAATGTTCTATTTCTGAAGAAGAATTTCCTGAAGAGACTCAGCTTCATCAAAGTGGATTTAAGATTGTTTATTCACAGCTCCCTCTTGGAAGCCTGGTTTTGGTAAAATTACAAAATTGGCCAAGGTAAGGCTTTTGTTGTTTTTGCTAATTATTTAGGTGTAGTCTTGTTAGATTTGTGAATATTTTAAACCTTTTCAAAGGTTCAACTTTTTTTCTCTTTTGTTTATTTATTTATTGATTTCTGGTCTTATCATTATTCATTCCCTTATTTCTTTGAGGTTAATTTATTCTTTTTTTAGTTTTTAAAATTTAAAATCAGATCATTGAGTACAAATCCTTTTTTCTTCTCAGTACAGACAATTTAAGTTTGAAATGGGTTTCAAATCAAGTGCTGTACCACTGACTTACAAATGAGTTCTAATTCAAATCTGTAATAGTTACTACCACTGAATGTTATTTTTTTGCCCATAGTGGTGCATCTTGTGAATTCTTTGTGCACATTTGAAAAGAACATATATAATTGTCTGTCAAGACAAATAATTTTTTTCTTAAGGTTTGTATGGATTTTTACCAATATAGCTCAGTGTTTTGTATTTCCCCCAATATGTGATTGATTTCCCCAAATATTCAGTGTGCATTTTCAGTTTAAAATTTCAAGTTTTATTTATTTATTTTTATTTTTTAATTTTTTGAGAGAGAGAAAGAGAGAAGAATATGAATCTTTTTTTTGTAGATGGAAACAACACAATGCCTTTATTTTTATGTGGTGCTGAGAATCAAACCCGGGTCCTGCCGGTCCTAGGGGAGCACTCTACCGATGAGCCACAATTCCATCCCCAAGTTTTATTTTTAATTTTCTTTTTTTTTTTAATTTATTTTTTTTATTGGTTGTTCAAAACATTATAAAGCTCTTAACATATCATATTTCATACATTAGATTCAAGTTGGTTATGAACTCCCAATTTTACCCCAAATACAGATTGCAGAATCACATCGGTTACACATCCACATTTTTACATAATGCCCTATTAGTAACTGTTGTATTCTGCTACTTTTCCTATCCTCTACTATCCCCCCTCCCTCCCCTCCCATCTTCTCTCTCTACCCCATCCACTGTAATTCATTTCTCTCCTTGTTTATTTTCCCATTCCCCTCACAACCTCTTATATGTAATTTTGTATAACAATGAGGGTCTCCCTCCATTACCATGCAATTTCCCTTTTCTCTCCCTTTCCCTCCCACCTCATGTATCTGTTTAATGTTAATCTTTTCTTCCTGCTCTTCCTCCCTGCTCTGTTCTTAGTTGCTCTCATTATATCAAAGAAGACATTTGGTATTTGTTTTTTAGGAATTGGCTAGCTTCACTAAGCATAATCTGCTCTAGTGCCATCCATTTCCCTGCAAATTCTATGATTTTGTCATTTTTTAGTGCTGCGTAATACTCCATGGTGTATAAATGCCACATTTTTTTTATCCATTCATCTATTGAAGGGCATCTGGGTTGGTTCCACAGTCTCGCAATTGTGAATTGTGCTGCTATGAACATCGATGTAGCAGTATCCCTGTAGTACGCTCTTTTAAGGTCTTCAGGGAATAGTCCAAGAAGGGCAATAGCTGGGTCAAATGGTGGTTCCATTCCCAGCTTTCCCAGGAATCTCCATACTGCTTTCCAGATTGGCCGCACCAGTTTGCAGTCCCACCAGCAATGTACAAGAGTACCCTTTTCCCCACATCTTCTCCAGCACTTGTTGTTGTTTGACTTCATAATGGCTGCCAATCTTACTGGAGTGAGATGGTATCTTAGGGTGGTTTTGATTTGCATTTCTCTTTGCTCTATCTCATGGCTTTGATTTTCTTATTTCAGAACTCCATCTTATTTATCTTTTATTTTCTTTATTCATTTTATGTATTCATTTTTTCATGAATTATTTTTGTCTTTTCAATTATATTTACATATAAATATTTTTTTCTTTTCCATGTTTTATTTTTCTGAAGGTATTACCAATAGATTTTCTATTCTTTCCAATCTGTTATTCTTTATTGAAATTTTAAAAAAAAAGCAGCTACCACAGGCTAGAGAACTGCTTTCGGGGAGACTCCAGGTTTGGTTGCATGTGGCTGCACCCATTTTGGGACACCAGCCAGGGGCTGGGGCCTGCGTGCAAGCAGGTTTACCACCATAAGAGCATCTGTCTGGGGACTCCAGGTGGACCTCCAGGTCCAGTGTGGGGGTGCCTGCGGGTTTAGAGAAGCCTGGGTCTTCCTGCTGAGAGTGCTGGTGGCCCTGGTCTCGTAGCTGCATCATGGGGTTGCTCCTTTGGATGAGTGTATCCCTGGTGGTCTCTCTGCAAGTAGGAAGAGCACTGAGATCTTGGGACTGTAGCGTGGCTGAGCCTGAAGTATCTGAAACCCAGATCTGTGGGATAGAGACTGGGTTTGCAAGGACTGATTTGGGTTTGGTGATCCCAAGAGACATCAGAGACAGGGCTGAGAAATGGTTGAACACTGACAAAGACAGTTCGACTTTCCAGCAAGATTTATTTTATTTTAGTTTTTTATTCACTAATATCTCTACCATATTTGGAACAGGATGTTTTTTATGCATCAGTATGTGGAGGACATTGACATGAATGGTGTTTTGCATTTTTGTTGTATTCTTATGTCTTTAATTTTTGTCTCTTTATTCACATCCTTCCTCTCTCTTTTCTATTTTCTTGGATTTTTTTCCCCAAATTTTCTCCAACCAACAGCCAATCTCTGTTGGCTCCTCTTCCACTCTTCCTGTGAATTTTTACTTCTAGCTTCTCTTCCTTCCTCGCAGTTATTGCATACTGCACTACCTCTGTTCTCTCATCCACCATTTGAAATTGTAAATTTTTTAACAAATATTCTGTTTGTGCTATAGATAGTTATTGAATTCATCATTTTGGTTTAATGTGAGATGACTTAGTGGGAGCTATTAGGTTTAAAGGTATATATTGTCTACACTGGGTACTCTTTATTGGTCTCACCAGTAAAGGTGAAACTCTGGAAACCTTCAGGGACACTATAGGTCTATAGGGTAGAATTTGTCCTGCCTTAGATCTATACTTTTAGATGGGAAAACACATTAACAACATGAAAAAACAAGGGAATAAAGTGCCCCAGACAAATCAAGATGCTTCAACAATAGAAGCCACTGATGATAACACAGTAGAAGAAATATCCAACAAGGAGTTCTGATTGTGTATAGTTAAATTGATATGTGAAGTGAAGGATACTATAAGGAGTGAAATCAAAGAAAAAATATGGGAAGTAAAAGATCACTTAAATAAAGATCTAGAGATTATGGAACAAAAACAAGCAGAAATCTTCAAAATGAAGGAATCTGTAAACCAAATTATAAATTCAATAGAAAACATTACCAACAGACTAGACCACTTGGAGGACAGAACCTTAGACAATGAAGACAAAATATGTAATCTTGAAAGTAGAGTTGAACATGTGGAGAAGATGGTAAGAAACCATGAACAGAACAAAGAATTATGGGATAATATGAAAAGACCAAATTTAAGAGTTATCAGAATAGGTGAAAGAGCAGAGATACAAACCAAAAGAATGCATAATCTTTCAGTGATATAATAGAAAACTTCCCAAACCTAAAGAATGGAATAGAAAATGAAATACAAGAGGCTTACAGAACCCCAAATGTACAAAATTACAGCAAACCCACAGCAAGACACATTTTAATGAGAATGACTAATACACTGAATCAAGATAAAATCTTAAAGGATGTGAGAGAAAAAAATCAAATTACATATAGGGGGAAACCAATTCGGATATCAACTTATTTCTCAACCCAGATCCTCGAAGCTAGGAGGTCCTGGAATAATATATTTCAAGCTCTGAAAGAAAACAGATGTCAATCAAGAATTTTATATAAAGCAAAATTAAGTTTCATATTTGAAGATGAAGCTAAAACTTTCCATGATACACAAAAATTGAAAGAATTCACAACTAAAATGCCTACACTATAGAGCATTCTCAACAAAATCTTCCGTGAGGATGAAGTGAAAAAAAAAAAAAGTGAAAACCAGCAAAGGAAGTGGGTACATTGAAGGGACATACAACCAAATGAGAAACTAAGACAAACCAAAAACCTGAAATAAATCAAAATGACAGGGAATACAGGAATACAAATCATATCTCAATAATAACCTTGAATGTTAATGGCCTAAACTCATCAATCGAAAGACATATACTGGCAGATTGGATTAAAATTTTAGCAAGACCCAACAATATTCAGTCTTGAAGAGACTCACCTCATGGGCAAAGACATCCACAGACAGAAGGTGAAAGGATGGGAAAAAACTTATCATTCATATGGATTGCATAACCAAGCAGGGGGTTCCACTCTCATTTCTGATAAAGTAGACTTCAAACCAAAGTTAATCAGAAGAGACAAAGAAGGACATTTCATACTTCTTAAGGGAAGTATATATAAGCAGGACATAACAATTATAAATATTTGTGCCCCAACAATGGAGCATTTATGTACATCAAACCCTTCTCACTTTCAAGAGTCAATTAGACCACAATACAATAATACTGGGTGACTTCAACACACACCTCTCACTACTGGACAGATCTTCCAAACAAAAACTAAGTAAGGAAATTATAGAACTAAATAATACAATCAATAATTTAGACTTAAAAGACATATATAGAATATTTTATCCATCAATGAGCAAATATACTTTCTCTCAGCAGCACATGGCTCCTTCTCTAAAATAGACCATATTTTATGCCCCAAAGCAACTCTTAGTAAATAAAAAAAAAGAGATAATACCCTGCATTCTATCAGTCCACAATGGAATGAAATTAGAAATCAATGATAAAATAAAAAATAGCAGCTACTGTAACAAATAGAAACTAAATAATACACAATTGAATGATGAATTGAATGATGAATGGACAGTAGAAGAAATCAAGGATGAAATTAAAAAATTCTTAGAGGTAAATGAGAACACTGATACAACATATCAAAATCTCTGGGACACTTTGAAGGCAGTGCTAAGAGGAAAGTTTATTGCATTGAGTGCATTCATTAAAAGACTAAAAAGTCAACAAATAAATGACCTAAT